AAAAAAAAAAAAAAAACAATTGTGTTCAAGCGTGGTTTGTTAATTTTTCAACCAGTAATAATTTCGTGCGAATATTCATTTTTAGTTTGAGTCAAGAAGTTTCAATGAAATAAGCTAGAAAATTCTTTTACTCATATTTTATTCCTCACCGGTCTCTCGCCCTTTGTTTCGACTTTCAACTAATTGGGTTGTTTTGGCGAAGAAAATTCATATTTCATACAAAAAAAGTGATCAAATATATCCAAAATCCTAGAAAATGTAGTTATATCAAACATAAAGGCAAGAAAAAGAAAAATATAAGTAACTATCAAATATTCATGTCGTCCCATTTAGAGAACTTGTTTTTTTTTTTTTTTAAATACATTATTCACTTATGGCCCCCAAACTATTCAATATAACTAACTTTTATAATAATTTATTCATCCAAATTGTGTTTTTTCAAATTCTTTTTCGTTCTCCAATTGAAGAAAAAATTCAGAATTATCCAACCGCACCATTCTTTAGCATAAATCTAAAATACTATGCAAGCACCATATTTGCATAGAGAGCAAATAACGAAACTTCAGTACATTGAAGTATTAATGAACCAACCTTTTGATCAACTTAATTGAGACTTTTTTCAACATAAAAGTACACACCTTTTCTTGCACATATATCCAATCAAAAGATTATGAAATCTCTACTTTTTTTATTATTATTATTCTTATTACTTGGATATTATTAGCAGCACAGTTTTTTTCAGAGAGCTATGATTCCAAGGCAACTCGAGACTTTCTGGTTGGTTTTCCGCGTCGCCTATTTCTCCTTGGACGAAAAGCCGAAGGGGCCGGGATGAAAACTCCCGTACCTTTGCTTTCCGATTTCTTTTCCATCTCCTGATTGTCGTAACTGAAAAATGTAGCTTCTTGCCTTTCTTGAGTAAATGTCTGAAAATTGAAGATTAAGGGATGTTGTGAAAGAAATAGGAAAAATAAAAAAATAAAGAAAAAACTAAGATGCAGTAGATAAAAATTAAATGTCAAGGGGAAAAGAAAAAAAGAAGGGTATGATATGATTAAATACCTCCAAAATTGCTGATGGGTACTGAACAAATGGCTCAGCATCATTGTCATGATCATCATCCATGATCAGAAGAGAGATACGTTTGCTCAAATCCTTATAGAAAATATCATCCTCATCTAATTCAAAAGTACTTCCCATATTTGAGTTTGAGTAATTGAGTGTTTGTTTGCTTTGTCACACGAAAAAGAAGTTTGGCAGCTTACAACAAACTAACAAGTAATAAATCCCACATATATATAGTGCTGAATGAACCCTACATCCCTGTCATCTTTTGTAAGGGTCATCATATATAATGATTATTCAAGCCTTGTTGTT